GAGGTGCTTTTGGAGGAGTTGGAGTAGTTTGCTGGAAGGAGTTTGCTGAAAGGAGTTTGGAGTTACACAAAGAGAACATTTGGACTCTGTATGTATATATGTTCTTTTATATAAACTCTGCAAAATATAAATGACTTGGTCAAAGGCAAAAGGCTTCCATGTTTGTGAGTGATTACATTCAACTTCATCGCGACATCTTCATGGTTGTTTGAAATCAGAATAAAAGCTACCTGTGGTGCAGATATTAATTTTCTTCTATCCTGGTATAGGTCGAAGTCAAATTTCAGTTGCCAGAGTGAAATCAACGGGACTTGTTTTGTGTCTTCAAATCATTTCCAACTTTTGGTGACCCCAAGGCAAACATCAAGATTTATTCATATATTTCCTTTGCTTTCCCCTGAAGCTAAGAGAATATTATTAGCCCACGGTTACCCAGTGGGTTTCTATGACTGAGTTGGGATTTCAATCTACTCAAAATCTTTCAATCCAATATACTACAGAAGATTTCTCAATAGGGTTTATATCAGTTTAAACTAACAGCTCCTATTCATTTTAATGGGTCTGCTTTATTTGGGACATTGATACAGAAATAAGGGGATATTTCAATTTCTCATACTCATATTTTAGCACGTAGGTCAATTACATAATGTACTTTCAGTAATACCTAATATATGAAACCATCATTAAGTTAATTAGTACAGAGATGTGTTATAAATGCAGCTTGAATCTACAGTACAAACAAATATTGCTTTCATAGTTATTTAATTGGAATTGTTTTCCCCGGAGAATCTAAGAGTGGAAATTTTGTGGGGCTGATATGATGTTGTATTAGAACACTTTCATTCATTCACTTCCCACTGGATTCCCTTTGCAATAAGAAAAAACCCATTACATTTATTTAAATGTACATTGAAGATATAACAGTAGTATTTATGCACTGCTTGGTTCTCCTTTAGATTGATGAAATAGCTAGCAGTACTGAATCTTAAGGAGAGCACTTTAGAAAGGACAAGAGCTCTTAAAACAGAAATAGGAAAATGTGTTTGGAGAATTTTACAGCTGATTAGCAGAATCTGCCATGGAGCCTGCCACGCAGACTATTCCCATACCTATTTCCTTTTCAGGTAGAAAAGGCTTTGGGATTTCTCACATTATTCAATATATACATTATTTAGATAGATAGACAGACAACTTACATGCACGCGCACACACACGCACACACTACTATTTTATGTTCAATCTCTCTGAATCTTACAATAAAAGCAGTTTAAATCTTTTAAAACTAGAACAACACTTTAAAATATAAAATAAATGTTCAAATAACATATTGAAGAAATGAAATGAAATCAGTCTTGAGCCTTGTTAACATACAGATTTGGACAAAATCATAAGATAAAAAATGCTTTTATTAAATGTTAACAGTTTACTTGGTGTGGGTATAAGATGAATGCCGGTCCCAGACAGGCCTCAAAGAGGGGAACATTTGTAAATTAGGTGAAATGGCAAAGGTTCTCTCCTGACCTCACAGTGCGTTGTTCCCAATTGTGAGACAGACGGGGACCATTTCAGTGGATCTGAATTCCTAGGCATATATATATATAGGGAGAGGTGTTACTTTAAATATTCTCAAACTATTTAAGACTCAAATATCAGCACCAGCCCTCTAAATTCAAATAGGAAACACACCAACAACCAGTGTGATGTATGTTCTGTAGGATGTTTGAGTTAGCTATGAGGGCTGAATGAAAAGTAATATTTCCATCTTTGTAACTTCTTGGCAGGTGGCAGTACTGGTATGCAGCAGGTACTGGCTTGTTCAGTAGACTCTCCTCTACAGTTCCATTTTGGCGGAAAGCCTTAGCATTGAATGGTTGTGCTGTTAAAGTGTGAAGTATGGAACCCTACGCAGACGGTTGGTCAATGCAACTTAAGCAACATGCAGTCATTGAATTCTTGACAGCAGAAGGTGTCACCCCAAAGGAGATTCATCAGAGAATGTTTATGATTATTGTGGTGATGTGAGTACTGTGTGTCATTGGGTGAGTAAGTTTAAAGATGTTGAGGTGAAAACATCTGACCAGCATGACAAACAAAGAGTTGGACGTCCTGTGACAGCAACCACCGAGTTTCACAAGCAAAAGGCTGACAGATTGATTCAGGATGATTGTCGCATCACTCAGAGAGAAATTTCAAGCACAATCGACTTTTCACAAGAATGTGTGGGTCACATTATTGCTTTGCTTGGGTATCGGAAGATCTGTGCACGATGAGTACCCAGGATGCTGACACCTGAAAGGAAACAGACTCAAAATTTGCCAGGAACCCCTCTCATGTTACAAGAATGAAGGTGATGCCTTCCTCCATTCAATTGTGAAAGGAGATGAAATGTGGGTACGCCATTACGACCTGGAGACAAAGCGTCAGTCTATGGAATATTGACACAAAGACTCGCCCCAGAAAAAGAAATTCAAGACACAGCCCTCAGCTGGAAAAATCATGGCAACAGTGTTCTGGGATGCAGATGGTGTTATCCATGTTGATTTCCTTGAACATGGAACAAAAATACATTCAGAGCATTACATCACAACACTGCAAACTTCGAAACGATAGCTAACAAGGATCTGAAAGGAAAAGGGAATTGTTTTCCTGCAGCATGACAATGCCAGACCACACACTACACATGCCACCACAGCAGAACTTCAGATACTGGATCTCACCACCGTATGGCATCCTCCATACAGTCCAAATTTAGCACCATCTGACTTCCATCTGTTCCCGATAATGAAAGATAATCTGCGGGGACATCACTATGCTTCTGATGAAGACGTTGAGAGAACTGTGAGATGCTGGTTGCAGAAAGAGAGTGTCGACTTCCGTGATGACTTCAGAAAACTTGTTCATCGGCAGAAATGTATCCAATTGTCTGGTGATTATGTGGAAATGTGAATAGAGGTAGTTAAAGAGCACATTCTAAGGATTATTTCTGCATTTGATTTATTAAAATATTCCCATCCAAACCCACGTAACGAAGGTGGAGGCATTACTTTTCATTCAACCCTCGTAGTTTGCACTAGGTGAAGTTTCAAAACCATTATCAAAACCTAATGTAGACAGTTTCATTTAGGCTGCATTACACTAGTCTGGGAAGTTACATGAATGATTGCGGTCAGGTTATCTGTATTCAGGAAAGGCCATCGTTGCCAGATGAGAGAAAGCTGGACATAAGCACTCTGAACCGTAGATGGCACTTGAGTCTCTAATGACAGAGATGGAATTTGGAGTGCTCTCAAATTATGAACCTGAATACACACATACACATAAATTCTCCTTGTCTTATTAAAATGTGTTGCTGCTAGCTTTTGCTTTTTCTGCTTCTCAGAAATTCACAGGGGGGCTGGTGACTCCAGTGTCATAGGAATGTGGAATTTACTGAGGCTTTTAAAGGATCTAGTTAATATACCAAACCTACTTTGATTATAGAGTTCACCACCTTGACTGGCTCCTTGAAGGTATGAACCAAAATCTAGAGCAGATTCACTGTTTACTGACATGGAAGTCACCCAAAGTCACTACACATGACCCTTCCACCAGGAGCTACTACTGAATCAGCCTTCTGGCATACAGCTGATTTCTGGGAAAGGTCATGGTATAATTTTTCCATTTAGTAAAATGGATAAATTATGAATGTGGGTAGGGAAAACTACATTTTTAATGGAAGTAGTGAAATAATAACGTGTCTCTATTAAGCTAACTATCTGGAATGAACAGTAAGAAGTCTATGAGGTATTCAAGTACCTGTTGAACAATATGATACATACAAAGCTTGAAAAATTGATTCACCATCTTATAACCATTAAATGAATGCATACATACACTTCAGTTTGATCTTGTCATATTTTAATAATGTTAGTTGGTTTCTTGATTATCAATGCCATACATGATTGTGTAAATAATAGGGCTGGGCGGTTTCGTTCGTTAATTTCGTAATTCGTTATTAATTCGTTATTTTTTGATAACGAAGCGATATTGAACCATTCAGGAGCAACTAAAAATCGAAACGAATTTTTCAATTCGTTTCGTAATTGTTTCGAAATCGTTTCGAAATCGTTTCGTTATTATTTCCGCATGTCTGGTGCAAGTTTTATAGTTGTTGTTTGTTTTATCAGTGAAAAAAAATTATAATTATCACACCAACAGTCAACAACAGAGGGAGAGGGAAGCTTCAGAAGTTCCCCCTGTCCCATTTGGAGGTTTTTTTAGCATATTGCGCAATCGCGCCCGCCATTAACGAATCGATTCGTAATTGTTTCGTAATTGTTTCGTAATTGTTTCGTAATTTCCGAAATTTCGTAAATTTCGAACTTTTTAAAAGAAAAATTTCGGAATTCTTTTAAAAATCGAAATGCAAAAACCCCCTAAAAACGAATCGAGTTTAGAAACAATTTTTTCCGTGGCTGCCCAGCCCTAATAAATAACATTTAGGAAAGAGCCTATGCAAATTTGTTTCCAGTTACTTCACATACTAAAAAGACAATGTGATGCTTTTATTCTCCATTTAATATGGAATGTTTATGCACCAATTTTTTTTCTGTACCACCCATCTTAAAAAGAAGCCCATATTTATTAGAATTGTCCAATCATCTTGTAATACTTTGTACGTGATGAGGCTGAACTCTGCCTGTTAAAAAATCCCTGCATTTGTAGTTCTACTGGATTACATCTTTATGTCTATGTTTGTACAAAAAAATGAGGTAAATTGTTTCAAAGACCCCTTTGAAAGTTATTTGCACTATTGAAACAAATAAGACTTCATATTTTTGCTAATACTTAAAATGTATGAATGCTAACTCTGCAAAAAATTTATTAGTGCAAGTTATATGTTTGGATACAGGCCTATAAAAGCAACTTGTTTTTAAATAAAATTAAAATATGGTAACATCTTGCTTCTATCTTTAATTACACAAATACTAACTTACTTTCTTGCTTACTTAAACCACCAGCTTTGGAAGAATGGAAGAAAAACTTCAGAATGCCATCTCATCATGAACCTCATCCTGGCACCATGACTCCAGATCTCTGGTGAGAAAAGTTTCAAAAGCTATTATTCCATTTGTTTGAATATAACATGTGTTTAGCTCTATTCGTGAAATATCCTAACATGCTGAAGGCTAAACAGTTTGCAAAGGCCAGTCACATTTTATTCACAGGTCTGTCCTGCTCTCTTTTAAAGTAATAAAGGAGTGTGTATCTAACCACCTCATCATACCTTCAGCGGCTGCCGGGCGTCAGGAAGCTGCCACCAAATGTCCTGCTTTGCCAGGCACATCCAGCATCTTTTCACACAGAGGGAAGCATGGTGCAGGTTGCTTCCCCCATTGATGGAATGGTAACACGGGAAGTGTCCTGCGTTACCAGGGGGGTGGTGGCATCCTGGTTCCACCCTCTTTCACCCATGAAGATGGCACAACATTGGGTGATTGGAGCCGGTCGGCTCCTTGGGTGACCAAGGCTAGATTGGTGTTTGCCACCGAATCTAGCCCTGTATGATGAGATTGTTATTCTTATTCCTTTCAGAATCTGAAGCTCAATTTCCCCCTTGCTTTTTTCACATTATGTCTTAAGTTCTATCATTTGAAGTACTTTTTGTTTACAAGTTGTTAAATTCATTTTCACAATTTTATGACATAAAGGAAGGGGGAAGGGGAAGAGGAAGTGTGGGAGATAGTAGAAAAATATGATAGGTTGGTGATAGAGTTTTGTTAGTAAATTAATTCTATACATAAGTCTATTGTAGTGAAGGGGATTATTATACCTATTCTTCAACATAAAGTATATACTGTAGTTCCATCTACAGTATTTTCTATTTCAAAAGCAAATGGATTCTTATCATCTGGTGTTCAGGTTGATCTTTCTGTCTTCTTATATCATCCCATCTTTTTTCTAATCTTCTCCTCTGGGTTGTATAATAAGGATTTCCTCTAACGATTTTATTGGTTTACTTATACATACTCTCTTTCCCCCCTAGTTTTAATAATATCCATTCATTTGCCTATCTCAGAATCAGTTATTTTATTAATACATTAATAATACATATGTATTGGAGCCCCCTGGTGGTGCTGCAGGTTAAAACATTGAGCTGCTAAACTTGCTGACCAAAAAGTTGGCGGTTTGAATCCGGGGAGTAGGGTAAGCTGCTGCCAACCTAGCAGTTCAAAAATATGCAAATGTGAGTAGATCAATAGGAACCACTCTGGCAGAAAGGTAATGGTGCTCCATGCAGTCATGCCAGCCTTGGAGGCGTCTATGGACAATGCTGGCTCTTCAGCTTAGAAATGGAGATGAGCACCCCGCCCCCCGAGTCGGACATGGCTACACTTAATATCAAGGGGAAAGCTTTACCTTTTAATACACATGTAAACACTTACTGTATTAGTCTCTCTTCTATGCAGATTCTGTATATATAAGTGTCTTATATCATCCACACCTTTGAAATGATATATATTGCTATTATGCTATTCATTAACCCAACAATTACCTTCATTTTTTGTATTTTTAGAATACAGAAAACTATCATATATTATTCATTATTATTTTTAGTCCACAAATCCTGTTATGATCATCATCTCATGATTACAAAGTCCGAAAAAAAGTTTCCACTCTTCTTGCTGTTTTTTTTTGTTAAGTTGGTTTGATGTAAAATTAAAGTTCATTTGTCTATTTGGGGCACTTTTGTTAGGTCCCTCCACACAGGTGAAAAATGTGGCTTGAACCAGCACAAAAATCCCAGCTCATCCCCACATCTTGGCTTTTTGTGGATGCAAACCCCACCTCATTGCCAAGGGACAGGCCAGACATGCTAGCTGTGCTGACACCAGTTCAGCACAGCTGGCTATGGGGAGTGCCTTCCTGCCCTGCCTTCCCATCACCCTCCTAAAATGTTGCAGGAGCCCCCTCCTTCCCTTTCCAAAGCTTCATCCCATCATCACTGAGGGCAATCCAGGGAACAGAAAGACTCTTGCAACAATAAGAAGGCTTTTGCTTCATTTTAGGGGGGAAATGGAGAGCACGGATATCCCCAGGCTTCCTGAGCCCAGGGAACGCAGCATAGCTCTAAGGACAAGGATTATGGAAGGTAATCCCAGGTTGATACTTTCACTACCTTGGCACTCACAAAGATTCAGGTCTTCAAGAAAGATCTGAATCTTTGTATATGTTTCACAGCGTAGATGAGACCACAGTAGCCTAGCTCTCTTCCAATATGTAGAGGAACATACTTGAAAGGAAGGGGTGCAAGGAGGTTGATCAATGTATTGTCGAAGGCTTGTTGTTGTTGTCCTTGGTGCAAGGAGGTTGTTGTTGTTGTTCATTCGTTCAGTCGCTTCCGACTCTTCGTGACCTCATGGACCAGCCCACGCCAGAGCTTCCTGTCAGCCATCACCACCCCCAACTCCTTCAAGGTCAAGCCAGTCACTTCAAGAATACCATCCGTCTTGCCCTTGGTCGACCCCTCTTCCTTTTTCCTTCCATTTTCCCCAGCATAATTATCTTCTCTAAGCTTTCCTGTCTTCTCATTATCTGGCCAAAATACTTCATCTTGGCCTCTAATATCCTTCCCTGAAGAATGGACTGGTTGGATCTTCTCGTGGTCCAAAGCACTCTCAAAACTTTCCTCCAACACCACAGCATTCCAGCTGTTTAAAGTGGGAAAAGGCATTCATTTTACTTGGAAAGAATTGGACAGTCTGTCATTTCAACTGGAAAATGAACATCCTCCTCTTCTTTCCGCTTTAGATTTCTCTGAAGCATAGGAAGAAGATTCAGGAGTCACTTAGGCTTCCTCTCTCAATGTCTCTTTCGCGAAAAGATTGAAGGGCTTCTATTGAGCTTTTGCTACTTCCTTTGAATGCATGAAGAGGCTAAGATGAATCAAGAGGCCATCAAACTTAAAGTTTCAGTTAGCTCATTGATTCTAGCTTTCATTTCTAGTTAATGCTGTAAGATTATCTTTTTTGTTATACAGAGTTTCTGTTCCATAGAAATGGTAGAAAGAGGCAAGAATATTTTTCCTGTTGCTAATAGGGCTGCTGGAAGGTAATGTGGTAGTGCTGAAGGCACAATTGGCACTTTCCATTTTTAGACTTAACCCAACATATGTTCAATTACTGGAATGGGAATTCTAATGTGCTCGTTTCTCGTGTGCTTAAATTGCCTTTAGGTAATTTATTAAAGGACGATTTCCTGTGCGTAGTCCACTTGAATGCCTATTGCTAGGATCTGCCTAGTATTTATCACACTTGCAAGGGCCAGTTTCAGCTCTTAACCAGATGTTCCTCATCATAAGTTATTTTCTGCTATTATGCTTAAGTCCACATTACATAAATAGTAGAGGGGTTTTGGTTTTAAATATTATCTTGCTTCTTTAAGACAGTTGATTCTCATTTGGAAAGGGGTAGCTTTAATCCAGTGGTTCTCAACCTGTAGGTCCCCAGGTGTTTTGGCCTACAATTCCCAGCCAGTTTACCAGTTGTTAGGATTTCTGGGAGTTGAAGGCCAAAACATTTGGGGACCCACAAGCTGACAATCCAATCACTGTTATAACCAAACGGCCATAGCTAGAGGCAGCCCTAGGTAATTTTCAAAGGTATTTTGCCCCCCCCCCCAACCAATCACTGATATATATTTTCTGTTCGTCATGGGAGTTCTGTGTGCCATATTTGGTTCAATTCCATCATTGGTGGAGTTCAGAATGCTCTTTGATTGTAGGTGAACTATACATCCCAGTAACTACAACTCGCATGTGTCAAGGTCTATTTTCCCCCAAGAGAGCCTCAAGAGCGCCCCTGGGCAAAATCAACTATACTGCAAATGCTTACTTTGCATAATGGGTTGAGCCGCCCCTGGCCATAGCAATATTTTTTTTCTCTTTTATCTTGAACTTGGGTTGTTGTTGTTTTTTTGAAGTTACATGTTCTGTTATTACTACAGAGTTTATGAAGTAATTTGTTGCCATTCCTTGTTACCATGATGAAAGAAAGCAACAGGTAGTTCCTAAAGTAACTAATTATTTGCATTGCTCAACACTTTCCTGTTTGGAGAAAAAAAGTCCTAAGACAGATAAGAAAATGGGATATTGTTGGGTTTTTTATAGGTTTTTTTTTTGCACAATGGCAACTAATAGTAAATTTATTCTGTAAAAGTATAGCTTTAGATAAACAAAATAACTATCCGTGCACAAGACCGAGGGCTTCTACGCAGCCCTAAAACTGGGGCTTAAAAATTGATTAGATTGAGGTGTCCAGATGGCATTTCAGGCTAACCCATTTCAACCTGGAGTAAACTGAATTTACTCAGTTTAATCCAGATATAAAAACCATCTCTAAAAATCTGGATCATATATAATTTTTATTGAAAATTTTCCATAAAAACAGAAAATAGTATTTATAAAATCTTTTGATAGCCAAAGAAAAGAGAAAGAACATTAGGGGAAAGAAAAGAGAAAAAAGGAAAAAGAAACTGGGTTGTTGTAGGTTTTTCCGGGCTATATGGCCATATTCTGGAGGAATTTTCTCCTGACGTTTCACCTGCATCTATGGCAAGCATCCTCAGAGGTAGTGAGGTCTGTTGGAAGTAGGAAAATGGGTTTATATATCTGTGGAATGACCAGGGTGGGACAAAGGATTCTTGTCTGCTGGAGCTAGGTGTGAATGTTTCAACTGACCACCTTGATTAGCATGCAATGGCTTGGAAGTGCCTGGGGGGAATCTTTTGTTGAGAGTGTCTGTTGTTGTGCTGTTGTAATTTTTGAGTTTTTTAATACTGGTAGCCAGATTTTGTTCATTTTCATGGTTTCTTCCTTTCTGTTGAAATTGTCCACATGCTTGTGGATTTCAATGGCTTCTCTGTGTAGTCTGAAAAAAAAAAAGCAAAAAAAAAAAGGGGGGGGAATTAGGAAAGAAAGAGAAATGTACGAGCTTGTTGACTTCCTGGATATCTTCAATGTGGCTTCTTCCTTTCCCTTCTTCCTTCTTCTATTGCCCCTTCCTCTCTTTTTATATCAAAATATTTCTATTTTTTGTGTT